CGCGGTTTCTAAAATTTGCCGCGACCACCTCGATGTTCGAACGTTTAAAATGGATATAAATGACGAACGTTAGTCTCGTAATATTGACACGTGAACATATCTTTAAGGAATGCTTGCGCATAATGTATGCGTAATGCGAATGTATGCGTAATGCATAATGTATGGTCGCGTCGAGCATTTTTCTTTTTTTTTTTTTTTTGGTCATTGGCGATTAACCAAAACGTAACAATAATATAGAAGAAACGAAGAGTACAATAAGGCAAATTACAAACTTGTATAATTGTATTTATATGTTTTGAACATATATCATATATAGTATACTATATCAGTACACTGGAATTAGCCTAAACTTAATGAATATAATACAGTGTATATTAGAGCTAAGTCGGTAACTTACAATGTCGTAATTGGTGGTACAAATTAATATCTTTGAGGAAATAATGATTTTCTCAATGTTTTTTATGATTCAGACAAGTGTGAATCTTATTTGGAAGATCAAATTTAATTTTGTATTTTGGAACGCGTTACTACAATTAAAAAGAGTTACTTGTAATATTGGCGTTACAATAGAATTCTGTTTACAGTTACGTTAATATTCGGGCACAGTACTGTCTCCGTATTCGTTACTTTGTAAAAACGGGTTTTTTAAAATATTGTGTTGCTTATTCTAAGAAAATACAAGCTATTTATTATATCTTGAAGATTAACAAGCTAAGCTCTGAGGCAAACGATTCCTTCCTAGCAGTAACATTTTATTGTACGATAAATTTTTAACATTAATATGAGAAAATGCACCTACGTAAATCCGTTGGCAATCAAGTCGTTCATATTATAATTCATTCACGTACAAATAAATAGATTTAGTCGACAGGAGGATTATTTAATTGGGTATTAATATTTCGTTTCAATAAATGGAGTTCTGTTGTACATGAAAATCAACCTTTAGATATTCTCATTATGGTGTTGCTCATTTGTGATATCCTTTATTCTGGCAATGAAAGCTTTTGAAACTACTAAAATAATGCTAGAATGATTAGAGTTCTGAGTTGAATGGAAACATGCATGGGATTATTTTGAATGAACCAAGAGAGCGAAAATTGAAAACGGGGTTCCTGAAATACTGAAAATAAATGGATAGGAAACAGAGAATAGGAAAAACGATAAGTATAGATGGTATTCCTACATTCCTTTAAAACGGAATAACTTTTTGAAAGTGAAATAAATAAATAGGACCAAACGAATTGAGTTTTTTTTTTTTAGAAAATAGGAGAATTAGCTTGTTAGATGACGTATAAAAAATATTGACAAGATTACAATACATCGGAATCGCGAAAAAAATAGCGAAAATTGCTTTTTAAATTTTGTATTTTGCAGAATTGCAGTTTTCTGAAAATGTTTTTTATATGTCATCTAGTAAATTGGTCCTTCTAACTTTCCAAGAAAGACTCAAGTCCAGTTCGGTCCGATTTTTAAAATGTTATTCTGTCTTAAAGAATACCTTCTACAACAATTGTAAATATATTAGAAAAATACTCTGCGCCGTAAAAAGCATTTCATTTCATAAGAAGAAATTCGATTTTACCGTGTTATATTAGATTTCACAATATATGAAAAGAAATACATATTGTGTATCTCTGCCTTTGATATTCTTAACGAAATTAACTCGTGCACGGGCCATTAGTAAATGGGGCAACAGATAATTGTATCCAATCTCTGGCTGGAAAATAATTACGAACAATTGTGAAGCGTCTTTGTGTCTTTTGGCAATGAACAATCGCGATATATGTATATATTATTTACAACGCATTGTTAGCTGATACTATTTCTGTTTCGATAACTAATGGAACAAAGACAAAGATTTCATAATTTTATCGCGTATTTGTGGATGTTTTCTTTCCTTCTTCTTTAATTTTCCATGGATACGAGATTAAACAATGGTGTAGCGCGGCACATATCCTGATTAAGATTCCACGCAACAATAATAAATCGATACAGTAGTCTATTTTGTTCCACATTGTAAACGTAATAAAATATACGGAATTTATCGACGCGATTATCACCTATCTCCGTGCATTCATGGCCTCAATTCGTGCATAAATTATTATTACATTGTCAGGACAAAAACGGTTATCTCGAATGCCGTTCTGCTTACGATGCGGAGAACTTATCTATCACTGAAAATGAAACGAACAAAATACGTATATTTCTCGAGTAATTAATAGTCTATTAAATATTCAAATATCGAAATAGAATAAATTTTATATACAGAATGCGTAATATATAATTGACTGATTTTCATTGTCAATAACTCTTAGACAGGATAGAAGACAATAGTTTTTTTAATACCAGTCATTTGTTATGGAAGCTAATTGGAAGTTATATATGGAATATAATATCAAAAAGATTTCCGCCTTCGGACGTTGTACAAGGTCGAGCCCTCTCGATCGCATTTTTCGTTATATTTTCACACGCTTCGCATGATATGTTTGTTATCGCTTCTCGAATAGCATCTTTTAGCTGCTCAATTGCCATTTGGTTCGCCGATGTACACTATACGTTTTTAAAAAACGCTATGAGAAGTCCGGTGCGGTTAACCCTTCATCCGCATACTGGGCCGTTATCGACCGCTAATTTTAAGTAATTTTTCACATTCTTCATATTTTTGTTCAAATTTCGCTTTGCTTGAAAAGAACGAAAATCACATGTGATAAAAATGAAACTATCAACCAAATAAGAACTATTGGATGACATTCTGGAAACTTATAACATAAAACGTAAAACAAAACGTAAAATAAAACAAAGACTTGAACGACCCAGTATGCAGACGACGTCAGGTAAAATAAGATTGCAGATCGAGGATTAAGTCAAACGATCTAGATTACCAGATAATATCGCCAACGTAACTTGCGTAAGGTTACCGTCATTGACGAATTATTTTGGCAAAGTGTCTTGACTCCGTCATTATTTTGCCGTGCATCCGTAAAACAATTGCTAAAGCGGAGCAAAATATGCATCGTTGCAGAATGGCGAAACTTTGAAATTAGTCAGTTATATATCGTCCACCCTATATATGAGCATTGCACGTAGATTATTCAAATAAATTCAATCGAATTAGTAAATCATTACGATTACGTAGGAAAGAGTTGTTTCCAAGTTTATTTAATTTTACGCGCATTTATATATTCAATTTATATATTGCTCCAATTCTACATGTATTTGTCAAGTTATCTCGTGTGTCCTAAACCAATGTTTCGAACCTGAGCACGCTTCGGTTCAATCTGTTTAACCTTTATGAGCCCCGAGCTATTCAACCTGTTCGATATCTACGAGTCCCAAACCAATCTATTCGATTTCTATGTGTCCCAGGGTAACCTATTCTGCTTTTACAAGTTTCGAACCAATCCATTTGGCTTCTGTGCATTACAAGACAATCTATTCAATCTTTACAGTCTCGATCGATTTTTAGCAAAATGTAACGTCCTTTTATCGAACTCTGCCGTTTTTTCTATGCTTCTCGGATTCTGTAAAAGGCTCACGTTTCTTACATTAAAACTGGAAATTTGAATTTATACACATAACATTCGAAGGCATACACACTTATTTATTATATGTATAAAAAATCTATTATATATTATGTGTTAAAGAGGTGAAGCAGATAAAAAGAGTTCATATAAACTTACCTTCGAAAATGCTTTCTTAATGAGTTAGAAACGTTCAAAGAATTCTTAAGGCTCGTTGTACAGACTCAGACAGACAGGCTCAAGTACGTTTACTACTATTTCTACGGCAGCAGGTATGTTCAAAAGAGTTCAACGAATGGAAGGAACGCGTTCTTGCAGAACACACTTATTGTAACTGCCAAGACGATCGATAGAAATTTTCGAACGGTTGTAATTCTTCGATAAAGCGTTTTCGAACGTAAATTTATATGAATTTTTCTTATCTACTTGACCTCATTACTACCTTCTTTTCGGACACTCTATATATCAAACATTTTCGTTCTTATACTTCGTCATACAACATACGACATATAAATCGTTAATAACTTCGATATTCTGCAGCTCGTACTTATTTTTTTATAGCGTAAAATTTTAGTTTCATTATACTCGCTACGTTAAATGCTGTTAATCCATCGTAAATTTAGATCGTTCCTTGCGCATTTCTAATGATTCATATCGATTTTCACCTGTACGAAGGGTCTTGTTTCTCATTATACCGTTGCAATATGATGTATAACATCATGCTTTACAATTTAGTAGTAGCCTTTGCCGAATTTCAACGACTCAGGGTTAATCTTTATTGCGTTCTGTGAGTGCTTAATAATCTCTATCGGTTACACCAGCCCCTGATGATTTGTAACACCTGGTTGCTCCACTTGTCACGTGCTCTACATCATAGTTTACGAACTCGACGTCGTCTTTATTGTACCCTGCACATTCTGCCTGTCCTGCATTGCGTATCTCGAGTTTACGATTGTCGAGCTATGCAAGTCTCCTATCATTTGCGAGCCCATAGTCATGTTTTACAAATTACAGTAGGCAAGCATACATAATATTAATAGCTTCCACAGAAACTGCGATAGTTCATGTACTCAATATATTTTTTATTATGTTAAATTATGTTAATTACGTTGGCGTGTTAATTATTTGAGAAATATTTCTCTTTAAAAATAAATCTTCCAGTGCGCATGCACAAGCACCACTCTATAGTCTTGTCGTATCTTCAATTAGGCTACACTCTCGCTCGATTCTCCTCATTAACCTAATTTGTCTGCGATACCAAAAGTATCGGTCTATAATTAATCGGTTTATTTATTACTATGTTTAATTGAAAATATTTCTCTGCAATTTACTGCTTCACCTTGACTTTCCCGAGGAAATTTATACGGTAGACTCGTAGAATATTTCCAGCAAATAAGAACTGAAACTGTAGCTGTGAGAAAGCATAAAAGAAGAAACTTCTTGATATTTGTAATAATCAACGTTTCGTGTCTTGATTCAACGAGGGAAAACAATAAAATATAACGCTCTAGCAATGCGTCGAGAATTAATCTTTTAAGCCAAACTCTAGTTTATAACCGTCAGTACTATATATTACTTTCTTTAAAAAGTTATTGATATATTTCCTATTTATCAAGCTGTGAAAGCTTACGTCAATTTGCTAGAAATTGTACGTTTAACAGAATACTACCTGTCTCTATGGTTGCAGAGTCGTTCTGCTACAATAGCTAATCTATAATCTTCGACACTACTATAATGATCGATCTATCATCTTCTATATTAGATACTGTAATAATCCATACAATGCTCCAATTCTCTGTCCTATACATACATCCATATGTATGAATAAATCATAAACTACACATATAAATTATAACTTCACCAAACAAACCGACATCCACATAACCATTTAGAGTGACAATATCGCTCGATCTGAACATCCTTAGGTCTGACATGGAAAAATCGTGTAATTCGCGACGTTTTACCATGTCATTCTCCTCGACTGATAAAGCGGTTAGGCGAGCAATTTTCATCGACGATGGTTTATGAGAGTCTATAGAAATAATTATAGTTTCTATTTTCTCATCTATCTACCGATTGGTAACCTAGTCTTAATGCGCGTGAACATGTACCTTCCTGAATAATGCTCGACGTTCTTAAGCCAACGTCATGCACGACTAGCCGTGAGGTTTTATCAATTCGTTTAGTTAGACACTCTAACAGGATTTGTGTGAATAATGCAAGTTCGATTACGATGCTTTCTAAATCACTCTCGTGATTCGAACAATCGAAACAAGATGTTTATATGCATTGTTAACGTTGGCGGACATTGCATTTCTGCATAAACAGTCGCGTGTTTCTTTTGTTAATTTCACAATAATACAAATATTATTGTTCGAGTACTGTAAGAACCAACTTTTACTTGTGACTATCTGTAAAGATAAATATCAGAATTCGAATGTGTAAGTACAATGATATTACCAGATGACGAGACAAATCATTTTATTACCAATTCCAGATTTCTCCAAAAACAATGATACGAACTAAATATTCAGTTTCTTCTAGATCTTCTATTTGTTGTCAATTGTTTATTCGTCAATATTCGTGTTCTATATTCGTGTTTTATATTCGTTTTCTATGCTTGTCTCTCTTTTCCTGTTTATTCGTTAAGCATCGTTTATTCGTTAAAATAAAGATCCGACACAGAGGTTGAAATATTCCGGCAGCGGGAAACGCTTTGATAAATTTATTCTTGGTTTTATATTCCTGATATAACCGGGTCAAGTTCAGCGTGTGCTTATTGATCTGGAAGAGAAACATGTCGATGCAAGGTTGCGAAATGCTTATGTCCCAATTTTGATATCGATATCTTTTAAATGACTGCGTAGAAACCTACGTGTCAAAAATATCTAATTTAATAAACGCCAAATATCGTGAATACTGCACTCGAATATTATTTATAATTCTAATTTATATCGTTTACACTGTTTATCGAACCTTAGCAGAAATTTGTTTTATCTATTAAACGTTACAACGAGTACTCTGTTTTAAATATTTTCGACATTTTTCCATTCTGTTCATTTATGCACCTTTAAATTTCCCCGTAAATGCATAAAAATTCACAGTCTAATAATCACAAGTAATAAGCAACTATCTCTTCAAATTTCAAGTACAATTAGAAACTTTTATTCTAGAAACATTTAGAGCAAAAAATACTGCTATAAGATATCAAATCGAACTTCTTAGCCTCCGAACTATTGAAAACTCACGTACCTATCATAAACTCGATTCAGCTAGCAGATCATAAAACTTTTCAAACTATTTCCCAAGGAAGTATACTCTATGGAACAAAAATTTATATCCACTATACTGTACTAATGTAGAATCTCTTATTAAATCTTTTTCGTTTTCACCTGAACGTTACAAGGATTATTCTCTGCGCGTGTATAGGAAATATTTTACAGCTGTATAAATATACTACAGTTGTGTGTAATAAAATATTACAGTAACATTAATAAACGCTGATACGCTAATAATACAAGAATAAAGTTGACAATCGTAATTGCTAAATCTCGTAGAGTAGTTTTGTCGTTTGAGATGCTCTTTATCAAGTCGTTTAACCCTTTATCTGCAACATTACCTTTACTATTTTGCTGCTTTACGTACATACTGGGTCGTTTAAGTCCATGCAGTCTTCTTCAGACTTCTGTGTATTAAAAAATCCCCAAAAAGTTCTCCCAAATTTCTAAAATATCATCCAATAGTTTTTATTGCTACCTACATGTTGTCTTATCTTTTTTTAAGCAAAGCAAAACCTAAACAAAAATACTGATAGAATGAGAAATAACTTTAAATTACTGATCGCAAACGACGCCATATACAGCTAGAAGGTTAATCTCTGAATTACGACTTGGTTAGATAAACTTTCTTCGAAATGTCATCAATCGAAGCAGTGATATTTAGAATTAATAATCGCGTCGACAAATTGCATATTGTACCATGATATACTACTAACAAATTCTCTTACGTAGTAGATAATTTAAAAATCCATAACCTACTGACTTCATAAGCAAGTGCACCTTCTCATCATTAATTTACAATTAATTCCTGTAATAGTAGAATTCAAATATTATTGCTAGTATATATATTTATATATACATATATATATATATTTTTTTTGATGGATACTCCCTGTCAGTTTAATAATCAATTTCAAATATGTTTTTAGCCCACATGAAGAGGATAAGAGATCAAATGGCTGGCATTTTGTCACGCATTCCCGGAGATGGGGTTGTGAATTGGAGCAAGATTCCTGAAGGAGCGAACACCACCTCCACAACCAAGGTCAGTCACGCGTAAATATTACGCTCATTTCCGATTTTCCTCTTTCAGCTAATCGATTTCAGCGGCTGACAAAGTTCCTTTAGTTAGAACCCTTTGCTACTTTTGTATATCATAGTCTTTGTACAGTGAAAATATACATTCCTCATTAGCATCAAATCGTACCGTCTTTGTGTCTATCGACGAGAACGATAACGGCAAGTATATTATAGTGATTTTTGTTGCATGTTGATGAGATAACGTACGTTATATAAATTGTCCGTAAAATCCAAGGTGAAATAGTAAATATCGTCGAATGAGAAACTACAATTAATAGTAATTTCATTCTCCGCTTTTCAACGATTCGTTTCTGATTTATTTAGAAAATTAATTAGGAAAATCATTTAGGAAATGGTAACTTGTGTTCTTTCTATTCGAATACAAATACAATACTCGGTTAAAACTTTATATATATTGGATATTCTATCAAGATAAAAGACAAGTTTAATTACGTTTGTTATAAGATGTAAGTTTTAAAAATTGTTAACTGCTCTCATAAGATACTTTGTTATTAGCCGTGTTTAATGATCCAACAGCGGAGACGAAAGAGTTAATGGAACACTAATCGAAATATCAAGAGTAATATCATTGCAGAAACTTAAGACGATCCCGTAATTGCCTTTAAATATTTCCACGAAACGATCCTCTTCTATAACATTCAATTTAAAATAAATACGTTAGAACAGCACAGTAATCCCGCATCATGTCTCTTGTGAAAGATGAAATAATGAAACAAGAGTGTTCAACTTTAGCATTACTCAAATATAATTAATAACGCTGCGTAAGAGTACGGCTTATGTACTTGCATATAACGTGTACGATTTGTCTGAATACGCGCAATACATTGTTCCAAGTTACGTAATAAATTGCGCAACGTAATCTGCACATCAATGCTGATCAGGTTGCTACATTTCCTGGGATGAAATAACCGCCGTGCCACTTAGATCGATGCGCAGCCTTTAATTTTTATTGCGACGCATTCGCGGGAAGTGTAAACATTTAAAATTAAAGTGACTTCGTGCTGTGAAAATTGTCGATACAGATTCTAAAAAAGTTGAAAGTTTGATACATAGACGAGTGTTCATAGAATATTGAATGTTAATATTTTAGACGTAGCTTTCTTAAAAATTTTCTTAATTTGCTTAAAAAGGATAATCATACGATAGAAGAAAATAATTGTGTAACAATTCGAGGAACGTTCATTTGTATTTTAAATTTATTTTTCAGCAAAAACACCTTCGTCAAATAATGATTAGTAATTTATAAAATGATCTTTTTTAATTTTACGGAAATTCATTTAATACATAATGAACTAATAGAGGAAACTTTGATCATCCCCTGAAGTAAAACGTATCATTGCATTGTTAACGTAGATATACGTATTACATTTCATTGCAAATCTCTAATTTTGTATATCTATATAAGTGTTTAAAATTAAATTGAAATTAAGTTTATTGTAAAATACAAGACACTATCATTTGCTTGTAGATCATCAACGGACACGTGTTGACCATCAACGAAACAACCTACACCGATGGTGACGACGAATACAGCACGCTGATCCGCGTCCGTGTTATTGACGTGAGGCCTCAGAACGAAACTCTCTTGCAGACCGAAAGCGAGGCTGATGCCGAAGTAACCACCCTTCCTACAGTTACGGGTACCGGAGGGACCACTGGTACCGACACCAGCAAAGTAGACCGCACCACACCCTCACGAAGCGTGGAAACCGTGGAAGAATTCGACAACGAAATACCGAAGAATCAAGTGGACACTCTAACCGCTTGAGACAATCAAGAAACAATCTAAAAGAATAGCGTCGGATTTATTGAATCCGAAAGATCGTTCCATTATTTTTTATCAATTTTTACAAAAATTTAATAATTGGTTTATATATCGTATTATATATCTTATGTATACATATACCATCATTGAATGATTTGAGATTATTTTTCGCAATGTTTAAAACATATATTTATATAACGTCTTCCTGAATGCAGTGTATAATCAAAAATTTATGCAAGAAAATAATTTTCTTAAATTAAATTTGAAGTATAATTTTATGGTAAGTAACCGAAATGATGCGTGATCTCAAACTTTTAGATGGTGATTGTATATTGCCGTAATTATATTTTTACACAGTATAGCTATGTACTTAGGTACACTATACGTATATAACTTAATCAGTAAAATAGCAGTGATAACGTAAATAGTAAAAGAACGTAAGATTTCCGTCCGCGACAATCTTTCGGATTCAACGACGACATTCGTGTACGAGAAATTGTAAACCATCGCGATGCAATAAAATGTTGACTATCGTAGAGTTATATAGATGATATACATATATGTTATATGTTCTTCTATAGCTATGTACATTATATATGTAAGAGAGTCACCTGTAACAAAGCCGATTGTTATAACGTTTAGAGATATGCTTTATCGAAGATGAACGCATAAACTAAACTATACTATAGTTACGTATAGCAGTCCTATGAAATAGCAGCATTAGTGAGACTATATTGCAGGTTGTACACCATCCATAATATTCCACGGTAAGACATTTTGAAAGAGAACGAAAACATCTTTTCTTCGAATTTTTGCTTAAATGAAAAGATACGAGTCAACAATACCCTTCTGGAATGTTTCTTCTGGATTCTCTTCCTTATCCTTGATGTCAGGAAAATCTCCTCTTAGTAAGAATACATGCATATAACAGAAATTTTATACGTGTATTTGTTTGTAATGATCAACCGTATTTTATGCTAATAAATCCTTGAAAGAATATTTAAATATATTTACGCGTAAGTATACCGAGCGATTTAAAAATACAGAATAGCTGTTTTCTTATTCAGTCTCTGACTGGAGAGGGATCAAGATAAATGAGAACTATTTTTTATGAGATCAGAAATGGTACAGTTTAAAATGTAACGAGTTATTTCGCGCGAAGATAATTTTTTAATGAAAGTAAATGTTAGCATAAAAAATAAATATTGTTGGCATAAGACTAGTATCTTTATTTCAATTGCCCTATGAAATTTTAGCAGACTTATATACTGCGATAAATCATTCGTTTTGATACCACGCGTGAAATAAAAATTGATATAAAAAGATATGTAAAAAATGAAGTAAAAAAGCCTCGCATCAAAATTGTTATCCCATTATCATTTTGAAGATTACCTATACGTAACTGCAATACTAAATTAGTAGGAAGGGTTTCTTCTTATTTATCACACAATAATAAATAAAATATCATCATTGGAATGAATAAATGCAAATAAATAGTAATATATAACAAATAAATACATAGTAAAAATATGCAGTTCGAAATAAATAATGAATACTTACTTTCCTTCCTTGAAAATTTTCAAATCGTATTAACTCCAATATAGATATATTTTCTGTAATAAACTATATAATTTAAATTATTTTGAAGATAGGAATAAAAATTGCAGTTTTCTCTTCCTTAAAAAAGAAATTCTCGTAATTTTGTAAAAATTGAACTAATTAAATTATTTAAAAAATCATACGTATTAAATAGTTCGATAACGAATATGGTGTAAAAATTTGAAATTGATGGGATAACTAAATCAAACAACATGGTTTAAACAAACGCGCTTAAAATTTTAAATTAACCATCTATCTCGTTAATATACCTATATTTATTAATTCATAGTTGCTTCGTATTCTTATTGCATTCAACAAATTTCATTGTGTAAACAATAATAAGCTAACTAAAACGTATTACTAAGCATGAAGATAATAATAATATAAAATAGTACAGCATCACACTTAAAAAATATTCAATAATTTTTAATTTGACAAATACTAAGAGCAATTCAAAGAATATTTCTATGATGCTTAAAGTTAATAGAATTTAGGTTTAAATCTCATCTCTAACGTCAAAATTAATGACATTTATCCTAGTATCCCATTTTATCAAATGCGCACCTTGACATCTGACGTTGTCAAAAATAAAAGAAGAATAATCCCCATAGGAAACATAGCTCTGTAGTGTCACGATTAGGGGAATTCACGTTAAGCCGTGTAGCGTATAAAACTATTTTATTTAATACATTAACGTACAAAAATGGTTACGATACGCATTGTTAGTTCAGCCATTCTCTTTTAACTAGCTTCTCTATCCCTCTACAGATGGTACTACAATCGTGCTGCCAACTCTTTAGACCAAATGCTACACTCCTAGAGCGTCGCTGCACTGTCATGTGGACGTGTCGAAAACGGAGGAAAGTAAACGGATATTGCAGCCGCGACAATGTCGTCGCGCGACAGGACTAATGAATTTGTTAAAGCTGTTCGAACGATGGAAGTCAGAACCGTGGCTCGGACATCGGTTCTGCAAAATCCTCGTCGGGCACGCCAATTACACAGTTACTCGAATTTCATGATGAACGCTAAGAGCATTGGAAAAAATATAGCGAGCACATATGCTAAGTTAGAAAAACTTGCTCTAGGTAAGACTACAAAGCCTATCTAATGCTAGATTCTTGTTAAATTTAATATAAGATGTTTATAACATACTGTGACATAAAGATGTAAGGTAAGGAACTGTACCATATAGTTAACATACTACATACATTTTTATAATGTAGATGAAGTTTGATCTTTATTAATTAATTATATCAATTGATTATTTGATTGAAATAATGTTTTTACACTTGTTTCACAAACATCTTTTGCATTGAATTCCTCTATATTTTTATTCCTTGAGCTAAATCTTAGTCTTTGATAAAAAGATAACGATGTGTGTTATATACATGTAAATAACATTCTATATATATCAAATTTAAGTATATGGAGCATATAGTTAAGTATAGACATGTTGATGGAAGTAACACTTATTAAATCAATTGTTTCAGTGGCAAAAAGGAAGTCTATATTCAATGACAGACAAATGGAAATTGAAGAATTAACAAACATGATAAAAACAGATTTAAAAAGTTTGAATCATCAAATAGGAAAACTACAAGAACTTAGTAAAAAGCAACGGGAAAAATATGGTGCATCTCAAAGTCATCACATGGCTTCACATTCATCTTCAATTGTTATGGCCTTACAATCAAAACTAGCAAACATGTCAAATCATTTTAAAAGTGTACTTGAAGTGAGATCAGAGGTATGTAAGAGATGAAAAACAAAGAAATGTAGAATTAAGTAATAATTCTGTTAATATATGCAGAATATGAGAGAAGAACAAAGTAGAAGACAACAATTTACTCAAGGAACTGTATCCACCATGTTACCTCCAAGTGTAACTGGAAAACAAGGTTCATTGTTGTTACAAGAAGAAAATTCTCCTTCTTCTGTGGCTATCGATCTGGAACCAGCAATGGGACAACTAGTAATGCAACGTGCGATACAAGATGACACTGTAAGCTACATAATATATATGACAAAATGATAAGAAACTAATATGTCTGAAAAAAATTAATCAATGTTTGATTATAAGGATGCTTACCTTCAATCAAGAGCAGAAACAATGCAAAACATAGAATCAACTATAGTTGAACTTGGAGGAATTTTCCAACAATTAGCACACATGGTTAAAGAACAAGAAGAAATGGTAGAAAGGTAACAATATTTTAGATATATGTTCGTGTTAATATGTTTCATATCCTATTCTATTAATAGTTAACAAATTAAGTGCTAAGAGTCCAGCACAAATGTTGCAGTCCTTTTCCAATATCTGTTGTATTTGAATTTTCAATCTTATTGTAACTATTACTTCTTTTTGGATATGGAATATGTTAATAAATTCTTTGTATTTACAATTATTTATTAGTTATTGTAAATTTTGAATAAACTTTCAGGATAGATAGCAATATAGAAGATACAGAATTAAATGTAGAAGCTGCACATGCAGAAATTTTAAGATATTTCCAATCCGTAACTAATAACAGGTGGTTAATGATAAAGATCTTCGCGGTTCTTATATTTTTCTTTATATTTTTTGTAGTATTTTTGGCATAAAATAATTGTTACATTATTATTGTGCATATTTCTTTATGCAACTGTGTATTTGACCATCCATATCCATTACATGTGATATAAGATGATCGAAGAACAAGCCGAATTTTTATAAAATTATGACTCATTAGCTATAGAGTTATAGTATAATCATTGCATTCCTCGACCTCTTTGTTGAATTGTGAATACTGTAAGTATTAATTATTGAATGATCCAGCAATGTAGACAAACGGCTACATTGTTGTTCATAAAATGTAAAAAGGAAACTGTGGATAATAAATGTATAATTTTCAATGCTTGGCATTTTCTGAGAAATATACATATGTATATACACAAATAGTAAATGGAAATCATACAAATTATAAGATGTAACGTAATAATAAATTACAATTTATTTCAATTTTTTAAAACCTTATATAACAATTCTATTTAATCTAAATTCATATTACAATTTATTTCCTGGTTGAGAAATTTATGAAGATAGTAAATTTTTTAGAATTGAACAAAGATTTATACATAACTATATAAAGAAACATTTTTACAATTCGTTCTATACTTCAATACATCCCTAAAGAATAATTAAATATATATATACAATTTGCTTCTTTCCCCTTTTTGATATAACAGTGATGGCTAATAGATGTATTTCTCATAGCAAACTAATGTGTTTATTACATTTGACAAATATCATATCAAAATGCACGATTTACTATTTCACAAAGTAGTAAATGCTGGTTGATCTATTAGCATTAATATATCCTGCATCACTGTTATTTGTTTATTGAAATATTTTTATACTTAAATGTCTCACAATATAATGACAAGTTTAACGCGTATACGAAGATATTTTATAACAAAATAAAAGACTCAAACTTTGCTGTTATGATGTGATTTATCTAGTGATTCTCCCGAAGAATGTAAGGAACCTGAAAACAATAATAAACTGTAAATAACATGTTATATCTGCTACTAATTCGTTCTAATTGTTGATATAGAAAGAAGAATATGAGAAGTACAAGTCATGAATAAAAATATAGGAAGAAAAAGATATTGCTACTTGAAAGTAAGTGTAATTATTAAGATATCAAAATCAAATCACAAATCCATGTCCAACAAAGTAAATTATATTTCAACAATAATATCATAATACAATGTCATTAAGAAAATAATGAAACTACTATGTAAAGAATCCATTTAACACATATAATAATGAAAGGAAAGAAATTTGTGATTTAATTTTTACACTTATTTCGATATTTGACGCGTATTTTGCATTGGCGGAGCAAAACAAAATCAATCTCGTTCAGCTTGACATACTGCATTTATTTGCAATTATTTCCCTCCATAGTACTCCAAAATTGTCTCACTTTAGAGAATCGCTTGCGTCCTTGCATGCACAACAAAAAAGAAGAGAAAAAAATAATGAGAAAAAATAGAAAAACTCATTTCAATGAAAGTGAAATCGACCATTAATGAGGGTGCCGGGTTCTTGCGGTTGCTTGTCATCTTATACACAAACCTTTGTGATTTCGAACTCGTTCTCGTTGTGCTGGATGAAAACCAGAACTGCGTGGAGGCGGCAGTGATTCTTCCCCCCACGAATGCGGCGTTCCAAGAGGTGGTGGTAATATTGAACCAGGAGGAGGTGGAGGAGGTGGATGAATGTCACTAGCAAACGGAGGAGGTGGGGGGGATCTATGATTAAAAGGTGGAAGTAAGTGTGGAGACATTGGTGGTGGAGAACCTGCGTTGTCGTACCTATTAGGAGCAGGTGGATGCAGAGGCATAGGTGGAGGTGAAGATAACCGACCACCAAGTGGTGGTGGTCGTTGACTAACTTCGTATGGTGGTACTCCGGATGTATTTGGTAACGGAGGTGGTAAGTACGGAGGAAACAATGAATGTAAATAGGAAGGTGGTGGTGGTGGTGGAACACTCGAAGAACCAGAAAACATTATAGGGGAACTGGATGATTCTGCTCCTATGAATAATGGAGGCGACGTTGTCGTCTCGCCGTTTGCTTCTAGTCCTGTTTGAAAATTATGTTAAAAAAATACAATTTTCTACATTAGAGCACTCTGTAGTACCATATCAGCAATGGTAAATGGGCCAAAGTACTTATGGTAAGTCTCATTATAGCTTCATATATTTCGGTGATTAAATGTATTCAATAATTAAGGCAACAAATGTCTATGTCTATAACTTCTACTAATGCTAAGTAGAAAATTTATACCAATTTATCGCATTAGATTAGCAACAATAATCTATCAAGTATACATTTTAAAATACTATTGCTTCTCAAAATCAAAATAATATTTACTACTTAAAGCAATTACAACATTGAAACGAAATTGGTAAACATAAAATAGAAAAGGAACTTCTTTTGATTATACTTACGATGTAATTTCGCTTCGGAATCTACATCGTTAATATTTTTTTCTATTAATGTAAGGCGATTACGCAATTGACCTGCTTCAACCTTGGATTCCTCTAAACGACGTTCAACTTGACGAGCTATGACCTTAATATAAAAATTTAATTAAAATATTACAACTAATTTCACAACATAGTAAGTCAAGATAATCAAGTCAAAATAATTAAAACATTCATACCCATTGCTCATGTGCTTTTGTTTCAAGAACAGAAATTTGATTCTTGTATTCTCTTTCTTGGTCTAATATTTCACGTTTTAACACTTCTATTTGTTGTCTAAATGCAGTTTAAAAGTTCAATATTATAATAACCATAGAAGGAATTTTCAGACTTAGTTTAAAGGATAAACACTCACTTATAGTTTTGTATTTCATTTTGCATCGTTTGTATTCGTTCTACAGTGGATACAACCTCACCTTGCTGTTGTAACCAAATAGCTTCTTCCCTAATGATAATGCATAAGAATAATTGATATTATTTTTAATATAAATATTAATTAAAGAAAAGAATAATTTTAAATTAATTTAGATAAACATGTAATACTTTTGGCGATGTGCCTCTTTCTCCTCGAAAAAGTTTGTCAACACCTCAAGTCGTGTTTCTGCATCTTTCTTTTCTTTTTCCGCTACTTTGCATTGTTCGCCTAAAGTAGCTACTTCCTCTTTAACGAACTTCACATGTTCTATAATTCAAAAATTTATATATAGTATATTCCACCAAGTATGTGATTTTAAATAATATTTCAAGATATACCTTCTAATAAATTATGAGCTCCTTCAATTTCAGCCAATCGTATTTTTAATTCATTCCTTTCTTCAAGCAATGCTGTTGCTTCAACTTTAATATGAGATACATCATACAACTTGTCCAAATCCAAGTTGTTAGAATTCAATCGATTAATAACATCTACAAGGTCGTTTGCTTCTACTTCTTTAGCTTTCAACTCCTTCTGTAAGGTTGTCTTTTCAGTAGAAATCTACAAAAATAAATATACATAAAACACCTTACATGTACCTTTGATCTCATATTTGTTTAACACTTACTTCCTTGATTTCCATTTCTAATTGTTGCACCTTATCACTCCAAGTTTGTTCGATATTATTCTTGCTGTTTATTTCTTGTTTTAAATTTTCCGTAAGCCTGGCTAGTTCAACCTCAAGCTCTTCATATTTCTTCTTAACAGATACAAGTTCTGCTGATATAGATTCGTTCTGTAAAATATTTAGTATTGAAAATTACATATATGCATAGAATAAAATATATTATACAAGGTATATATTCCAAATAAATTATAATGGTATCCTTGATAATATACGACGTTACGGAATGCCTATGATTACGAACCTCAAATTTATGAAATTCAAACTGCAATAAATATGTAAAACATGCAATTAAATACATACTTCTGTTTATAAAAATATCTATCACTTAATTTAAATATACACACCTCTTGAGTTTTAAGATTCACAGCATTCGTTAAAGATTCGTTTGCAGCTTGTTGAGCATTCAACCTAGTTTGTAGATCCTCTACTGACTGCGCTAACGGATTAACTTCATTATTTGCCGAGAGAACTTCTCGCAACATTTTTTCTAATTCTAACCCTGCTTCAGTAGCACTTTCTAGGTCTTTTTCCAACATGGCTACTTGATCTTCTAGTTCTGTTTTTGCATTCTATTAGAAATATTACATTATTATTATTATTATTATTATATCTATATCGTATTTAAATGCACATGTTACAAAATATTACCTGTGAGGCTTCTAAATCAGCCCTTAAAGAAAGCACCATTTCGTCAGAACCGAATGATTCATCTTCCATGCGACTCAACTACAATATGTTTTATGATAGTATAAATTCACTAAAAAAAGAATATGAATATATAATTGTGGTACCTTTTCCTTCGTTGATTTTAAATTTTCGTTTACCATTGTACATTCTGCTTCTGAAATAAGTAAATCTTTTTCAAGTTTGTTGATTCTAACTATCAGTTGTCTGTCACTCCTCATATTCTATAAACATAAAATTATTAAAATTACATATGCATGTTTCCCTTATTCATATACATTTTTGCTCATACAATTTTAAATAATTTTTTAATATTAATACTAGGATAGTGAAATATTTCTACATATAGCATATACTTCAAAAGTATTTATTTAATACCTCAATGCAGTAGTACCCTAAAGAAAATATAAGCGTTGCAGTGGCAGTGACACTTAGATACATTAATGCCAACCAATAATTGCTTTCGATTTGTATCCCACTCATTAGAGCATTTTCACTGCCCTGAGAAGGTTGTTCCTATAATAATTAACTAAATAATAAATAACACACAAAAGACTTACAATTTATAATTGTAATATTTCTAAGATAATTATGACTTACGTGATGTGGAAAATTATTCTGATTGTCTGTTAAAGGACATCCAATATTATCAGCTGTACAAACATCTGGAACTGAAGCTAAAAAGTATTAGTGCATTAATTAGAATTATATATCAATTCTAATAATATTACATAATAATTTACACAAGAATAAAATAATTTTTATACGTACCTTGTACTTCATGGAAAATATTCTTAGATGTTTCTTCTATTATAGGCAAAGCATCCTCATTATCTGTATTATATTGGATATCTGTTATTTCTTTTACAGAAACAGTATCTTCAATATTTGAATTAGATTTAGTATCTAATGTAGATCCTTCCTCTGTTTCAATATCTAAATCAAACTGAATATCTTTAGTTTCAATATTATGAGTAGGTAACGTTACTTCATTGTTTACATTTGATTCAATAAATGAAAATGGTTTATATTCACTAGTATCATGTTCATTTAAATCTTCAATATTTTTGCTTTCTTCTTCTTTTTTTGCATCATCTGGCTCTGTTTGTATTTGCATAACACTACCTAAATATCGGGTATCTTTTATACGAGGTATGATGTTTTCTAATAATGGGATATTTTTTATATCAACTTTATCAGAATTTTCTTCACTTTGTACATCTGATTTAGTGTCACTAGTTGTAACTATTGTAACATTTTGTGAAGCCTGCATATCTTTAGTTTCAATTTGATCAGAATTTTCTGCATTTTGTATATCTGATTTAATGTTACTAAGTGAAAATAATTCAATGTTTGCTGAGGAGTTGACATCTTCTTTTTCAACTTTACCAGAATTTTCTGTATTTTGTATACTCGATTCAGTCTCATTAACCACAATCATCTCAACACTTGAAGTATGGATATTTTCTGTTTCAACTTTATCAGAATTTTCTGCATTTTGTGCATCTAATCTAGCATCACTAGTTGTGACTATTGTAATATTCTGTGAAGATTGGATATCTTTTGTCTGTATTTGATCAAAACTTTCTGCATTTTGTATATCTAATTGAGTTTTATTGGTTGTATCTATCATAACATTTTGTAAAGGTTGAATATCTACTTCCTCAATTTGATCAATAGTTCTTACATTTTGTACATCTGGTGTAGTGTTATTATTTACATCTGCTTCACTGAGACTGACATTACCTTCTTTATTTAATTCAACTGCTTCTTCTTCTTCAATAGTTAATGTTTCTTTAAGACCATCAGATGTAGATGTTTGTGGACTATTGATATCAATAACTTTATTTAAAAATTGATCACCCTCCACATTCGTGACTGACTTATTTTCTACATTCTCTATTGTATATTCTACTTTATCAGAGGTTATACTTATATTCAATGGTGAACTCTGTACACCAGATATTTCTGGTAAATCTAATATTTTTTCCGAACTTGTCACAAAGTCTTTAAAATCAACTTCAGCAGAAATGGCGTGCTCCTTGCTCTCTAGATTATTATTTAACATTTCATCATCTGCATCTTGTTCATTTGGCACTGCTGTTGTTTGAATAACTTCTTTTATAAAAGTTGGTTCAGAAGGCTTATTGATATCTAAGTGAACTGTAGTTCCATCTATAATCTCATAAGATGGATTTATACCATTTGCACTTTGTGGCAGTTCTTCCAAGGACTTTAATTCCAAATTATCAATTTGTTCACTTGAAGTTTTAATATCTTTCTTGTCAAACACTGATTTATTTTTATTTTTCTTTGATTGAAGTTTCTCATTAGATGAAACATTACTAAATAGTGGATCAATCGATACTTCATGTTCTAAATTTTTATGTAGAATTTTATATTCCTTTAAAAATGTTTTTGGTATATATCCATGTCTGCCATTTATCTAAAATTAATAAAATCTTTCGAATTATTTATATAAATATAATAATTACCACAGGAAAAGTAAAATAAAAGATTATACAATCAGAAAAACCATAATAATAATAATGTAATCTTTAGATTTTTATATTGTTCTTAGTATTTAATTTGGCCAGATTTCAGATTATACTATTTTAATTTTTTTAATTCCTACATTTGTCTTTATACCAGATAATTTTACATACAAGTACGAGCAATGAAAACCGGAAAACCTAAAATTAGATGGAAAAATAGAAATTAATAAAATTTACCTCTACACCCCACAAGTCATTTCTCTTCCCTGCTTCTTTACTATAAACTATGACTTTTTCATTAATGTTACACGACAATAATCCCGCCTCGTTTGGGGTATATCTAATAGTCGTTCTAGCTAATGAAACAGGCTCTATAGAAAATACATCATTAAATAATTTACACGAAATAAAAAAAGGAATTTAAATTAGACACGTATTGAGGATAAAGTATGGCTTCAATTACCGGAACAGTCAGGATCATAACACAGTCGTTTGTCTGATAAAACTGAGGAACACTGTGGTATTGCATTAAATATTATTGCAATAACTAGAAATAATACGTTAATAAACAAATTCCTTTCCGTCATATTTGTACTACTGCAGTTCCACATCACTACTAACATATAATGACACAGCCTTGGACGCACATTTTATCCGTGAAGTAGTCTGTAATAAGATGGTTGGTTGAAAGGAATATTTAATATTGGCTCGAGACGAACATTGACTATACTTCACAGGATTGGTAATTGAATCTATACAAAATACAGAAAGTACGGGTCCATTTTCATATATATTTTTGTATTTTCAAATCTTAAATATATATATATATATACATATATATGTGGATTAGGAAAATATTATATTTAACAAGCATGTAAATAATAAGTGGATACTATTAGATACGTATGTATTAAGAACAAATAGTGCCAACTGAAACAAAATCATAGATTTCTAACGCACGTATTACTATATCCGCATTGAATTCAGAAATTCAAAATGCACATGCGCAATATAAAAAGTCGAAGATAATATTCAATGTGCATTTATTACATTTGACATTTCAATTTTGGATATGATATATTTATCAGTATATCTAATTTCTCTTTTTATGAGATTCAGATTTCATTAATCGTATAAAAAAACATAAATATTTTTAACTCCAAACCACTAGTTTCAAACAATACTACTCTTTAATATTAAACATATTAAAAGAAAAAAAAATTGATTTAAAATATAAATATTATACCAGATTATACTAGAAGAAATACAATGAAATAGTAACTCATAGGTATAGGTTGTATCTATTTAAAACTGTTTCTTTCTGTAAACATTCATGTCAAAGAATTGTTATTGTGAAATCATAGTATATAATAATAATTTAACTATTACGATACATAATTATTAAGTTAATTGACTTTGTTTAAGCAGCAGAGACGAAATTAGAGGCACTCATGTTCACGCCCGGAACGAGAGTTATCCCCCAGAGCTTTATAAGTGCTACACCAGGCGACCAAGTGCTGCAAAAGAAAGAGATTTACTCTGGTTCCATTATCAACGAAATACCTCATCTGCGGTTCCACTCTAGCATAAGAAGCATGTACGCGCCAAGTACTAAATCAAATGGTAACCATTTAATTACCAAAGTTAGATCATGTAGTAATCTTACTTTATACCCAGCCGGTAATATCGCATGTAGTATGAAAATGTTAAGAAGTTTAGAACAAAAAAACCAAGTCGGGTAAAGAAAAGCACCACATCTCAGATCTATTCTATGTTTCGTTTATGGTTATAGTATCTATTTGTATGAAAATTTGTTGGGTCAAGGTCAGATTATACTAGGTTAGTATCTTTCACCATGTGCATATTCGTTATCAATGCTAATTATTGCTAATACATCAAACTTAATGTGCAAGCTAATATCTAATTTACTACTTGTATTCGTTAAAGCAAAACAATAAATCAAGTTCGTTTTTGATCTAATCGTCGTAAAGCACAATTTACAATATGTATCGAGGCCAAGGTGATCAAGTCTTGACAAACAAAATATCGACATAAGATCAGTAAGTACATAACACGCCCACGTGTGAAAAGGATAATATCGAAACAAGCTGGAATGCTTCATTTTGGACATGTTATTTCATAGTTTTTGTTTGAAGTTGGTATCAGCAAATTAGTTTGAAAAATTTCGGCGGCAAAAGTGTGGTGACGAACATGTTCATCGTAGTTACACGGAACTCACTTTCGTCAAATACAATCGACATTTGAATTTAAAAAATCGTTGGTATGTATCGCGTTAAATATTCAAAACAATTGTTCGATTTTATACTTTCCGCATGTTTGTCATATAAAAGATATTCAAAATATATATCACGAGATATTTTAAATATTAATTATCATTCATAGTGATAATCTCAAATGGTTTGTATATTACAGATATGTTTTTAACCACTTTCCAGGTTGTTACAATCGAATTTTATTTAATAAATCAATATATTTTTATTTAAAAAGCATATTATCAGATATCACTCATAATTGCTACATACAGTGTACGTATTGAACTATCTATGGTTCATACTTATGGAATTTCTATGGTCAAAACTAAAACTAAAAGTGAAAGTGAGGTTATGATTTTATCGAACGTGTTTATTTACCATGATCGAGAACATCATACAGTTCGACGGACGTGTAAATTGCATGTTTGACTAAATGAATAAATTTGTCTGAAAAAATATTTGAATGTTTAGTGGAATTGATATTGCACATGTCTTTCTTTTTACTCAGTCATGTGATACATATATTTTTAATTTAAAGAAAACGGGTGAGAATCAGTGAAGCATCTACCATTATGGTGGAATTATCGAAACTTGCTTTGGACATTGCAGTTCCTCCGAAAGTTCTCGCACGTCGTGGCGGAGTTACTATTTCAGAAGATATCGTGACGTTCCTTCATGTAAGTCAATTTTTTTTTCGACTTTTTATCCTGTTTTTATATCTTTAATTGAAGAACAAACATGCCATTCATAACATAACTGTTAATACACCAGACGTACAAAGATCTACTTTCAAATCGGTGATTTATTGAGATAAAATCGTAAGTAGGTTTATATTTACATTTTATGATGTAAATATAAATTATATTATATTATAAATCTTTATTCTAGAAAACGAAATATGACAAATACTACTATTAATTATAGAATTTACGTTCCAAAAATTAATTTCAACACGTTGTTTGATTTCGTAGCAAAATTCCAGTGAAATGATAGCTTTATTAAAAGATGTAAAAATTAAAGTATGTAAAGATAATGAATGAAATTGTCGCTGCTATAAGAGACAAAATACATGGGAAGAACACGTAAGATTTCTTATGTGATCGATTCATAAAGTTCGTAAGTAATTAAATATTTATGTAGAATGTAACGTCAAATATAATTTATGATAAAAGAAGTCTCGTTTTATAGTCTTTGTATTATGCACACTGAATAATGTTCACGATGCGTCTGGCTCCAAAGGAACGTTTCTATTGAACGTATACGATCTATCATGTGCATAAACATTAGGTAATCCTCGTGTTAAAATTAACTCGGCTCATTTGTCGATGGATAACTAGAATAGCAACAATAATTTAAAACAATCTTATATCTTTATATCTTTCGTTATATCTTTCGTTATATCTTTCGTTAAATATGAAGACGGAAATTAAATCTAATTTCAAGTTTCCTTTTTTCTCTTATAATAATCGGATATTTGGATATTTAATGCGATTGGGATATATAATTGGATATTTAATGCGAATTCATATTTTTATGACCATGTAATTAGAAGACTACAGAATTTGTTTAAATATTACATAAACAAAGATTTATTTAAATATTACGACGAATATTAAGTCAATATTATAAACGCGATCTTAGAATCATAATCGTTAAAAAGATTTTGATGTGATATATAATATAACGGGCATTAAATAAATATTATTTCCTTTGAATTTTGCACATTAAATTCTCGGCAATTCTGTCATTAATATTCTCCATATTCTTACAGATAGTAAGATTCCGATTATTTCGATTCCCAAGTAATAATAATATTACTACTAATATTATCTAATATTATTAATGTTATATTTTCTAATATATTATTATGTTAATATTATATAATATATTATAATATTATCACTAATATTAAAATCAACCGCGGTTCAACACAAATATACTTAATGCTGATTGAATCTAATAAAATTAAAAGTGCTTTTTTCTTTCAAATTTATTCTCTATGCTCGATAAATATTTCGAACCCAAACTCCGAAGAATTCATGAGAATTATTGCGAGAATGCCATATAATCTTCTGGGACATTATTTCTGGCGTGCGAAATTTTTCAATAAGAATGCCGCGAACTTAAATTCAGGATGCCTCTTAAATTTATTGGAAGAGTAGTTTGCAAATGGGAGAAACTAAAACCAACGATACTTGAGACGATGCAGTCCAATATATGTAGAATAGCAGATGTTCAAATCTGAGAATAATTTCATACAATAATCGCTTGTTTACTATTTATTGTCAAATGTCTGTTGCACAAAATGTAGACAACGTACGATATTTATTAGGATAAAAGGTGTTAAAGGATAAAAGAAAGAATGTGATGATCAGAATGATCGAAGGGATAAGCTGTAATAACGGGAACGGCAACAAGCTTCCTTTCATATGGGAGAGGAGGTGCGCTTCAGGTGCGTGAAGTTAGGATCGATATTGCAAGCGACTCCCTGGGCCATGACATGCCCCTGCGGCAGCCATCGGCTGCACGCGATCGTGCTAAAATTAAATGATGAAATTCATTCCTCCCCCCCCCCCCTCGATCCTTCCTATTCACTCATTTTATTTTTCGTCTCATTAACCCTCATCTTTTTCTTGTCTTTCTCTCTTGTACTCTTTATAATTATTTCCCCCATTCACTCCTGTCTGCTATTCTTTTTACTTACCATCTCTTTTCACACACTATATTTATGGCTTTGTTTCTCTTTCGCTTTGCCATCTCCTTTATTTCTGTTCACTTTGGTCTTTCAATATCCCTACGTTTCTTTCTTCTTCTTTTCGCTCTATTGTCTCACTTCATATTCTTGCTGTTTACTGATTTTTATATCTTCCATTTTGTCATTACTTTTATGCTTCTTTTATTTTAATTTCTACCTTCGTTGATCTCTTTCGTATTCATTTTTTTAACGTTTCATATTTTTTTCGTCATATCCTCCACCGCTATCCCGTCTATTCTTCTCTTTTGCATTGTTTTTCGTCTTTTTAAATTTTTCTGTTTATTACATTTTATATATTTATTAGATTTTTATTTATTTTATGTATTATATAGATCTTATTTATTTCCTCTTTGCTTTTTTTTTAGCGGAAAGACATTTTTTTCATCCTCCTTCTTTGATTTTTACGTCATCTGGCTTTCTTTTTCGCCATCATTTGAATTACTCCCTTTTACCGTGTTTCGTCATCTGTGTCACGAAGCACACGTGACGTCTTATCAATGACGTAACACGGACCGTATTATTCAGGAAGTAGTGTGCGTCATCGTCCTTGAGGTGATCTGTAATGCAAACGGCCAGGGAATTACGTTTACAAGTGGTGCACGCATCCCCTAACTTCGCTTGTTCATACATAATCAGCTTTTATCGTATAGATTTTAGTTAAAAATAACGCTTAACAAACATTTAGCTATTCTATTAAATGACGAATCTTTAGTAGTGACTGA